ATTTGCATCAAACAGGATAAGTTACAGATGATCATTGGGGCTTCGATTGGGAGCATTTGACACCAACACAACTGACTGCTTTCAAGAGTGTATTCTTTATACTAATACATGTATTTCTTTGGTCTAGGGTATTTTGCCTTTCACCTATTTTTAAAAAATAACGCAAGCCTAAATGAGCATAAGATCACATATACACAATCTTTTTATATCGAAAGCATGGGAAAGAAATGTTTATTAATAGAAAATTTTATCCAGGCATGAGGAAAGATAATAGATCCTAATTAGCTAGCTGGTAAGTTCTAATCACAGTGTATTGAATCATTTTAAAATTAACCTAAAGGGATTATATACCAGGGCAATATTCCCTTTACTTATATTGAAAGTAATAGATACGGTGCCGGGCGTGGTGGCTCACGGCTGTAATCCTACCACTCTGGGAGGCCGAGGCGGGTGGATCGCTCAAGGTCAGGAGTTCGAGACCAGCCTGAGCAAGAGCGAGACCCCGTGTCTACTAAAAGTAGAAAGAAATAGCTGGAAATATATATAGAAAAAATTAGCCGGGCATGGTGGCGCATGTCTGTAGTCCCAGCTACTCGGGAGGCTGAGGCAGTAGGATCACTTGAGCCCAGGAGTTTGAGGTTGCTGTGAGCTAGGCTGACGCCACAGCACTCACTCTAGCCAGGGCAACAGAGTGAGACTCTGTCTCCAAAAAAAAAAGTAATAGATACAATTAAACCTGAAACCAACAATGAACATTTGTCAAACTGTAAAAAGAAAATCACAGCCTCAGGCAAATGTGAAGAGCTGGCCCCACAGGTCACTCACTGAGGAAGTTTCTTGCTTTCCTCCCATACGCAAAGACGACGTGCAAATTGTACCTATGTCTAGCACCTAAAACTAAAGCCTATCTGATTCCACACTAGTAATGAATTACAAGTTTATCCTACAGGTAACAGAACCGGAGAGGACACAGAATCAAGCATTCTTCCACCTACCCAGGGACATCTACATAATTGATGCTTCCTTCACTCCCTTATTTTATGTGAAATGCAGATTTCTTGGGCCTCACAAGAATGTAGCCACTACCTTATCAGGGCCCTATCCCCCTACCCCAGCCCCGCCTTTTTTCTTCTCTGTGTATGCCTTTAAAATGTTGAAACTTCCAACCTCTCCTTCAGAGTACAACAGCCATGGCTTGTCTGGGGTTTGTGTTTTTTTCCCAGTTGTATCCTTAAACTCTTGGCTTAATAAACCTTCACTGATTGAGATTTTTGCCTCAGTCATTCATTTGGGTTGACAAAACCAATGGAAAAATGTGTGAGCGATTTTAAAACACACTGTTCAGGTGGTAGACAAATGGTTGGCCAACATCATTAAGAACATCCTCAAGAAAGAAAACAGAAAATGATTCCTTGAGGACCACGGATAAACACTAGTGAATGAATGAAAGAACCTAGATTAAATTCACAAATCACTTATGCAGCACTATACGTTAGGGTGATTTTAAAGGATTTTTTACAGTAATTTTGAGTATTGGAAATTTTTACTTAACCTTCAAACCTAAGACGCAGCTCAACTGTATATCAGAAGAAATAATTCCCTGGCTTCATTTGCAAATTTGTGGTCCTTATTGCAATAAAGCATAATATGAAATAGGGAAAGTAAAAGATATTTACTAAAAGTGTAAGTAAAATAATGGAAGAGAATACTATGTTTACATTTAAAAGGATAAAAATTAATTATATAGATGAATAATAAATGAAAACCCATGGCAAAGTTTTCCTTTTCAAAAAGGAAGTTTTTGAACAAATTGAAATATAAGATGAAACACTAATATAATACTATGACTTTACTATAATTCAGAACTATTTTTTGGAACATTCTCTGGGGAACTATATTATCTTGAAGTACCTCACAAAAGACCTGGGTGGACCTTAGCTCCTAGCAGTCATGTAGGAAGGATCATTTTTTTTTTTTTTTTTTTGAAACAGAGTCTCACTCTGTCGCCCGGGCTAGAGTGCAGTGGCGTCATTACAGCTTTCTCACTGCAACCTCAAACTCCTGGGCTTAAGCGATTCTCCTGCCTCAGCCTCCCAAGTAGCTGGGACCACAGGTGCCCGCCACTGCGGGCTAATCTTTCTATTTTTTGTAAAGATGGGGTCTCACTCTTGCTCAGGCTGGTCTGGAACTCCTGGCCTCAAGCCATCCTCCTGCCTCAGCCTCCCAGAGTGCTAGGATTAGAGGTATGAGCCACCGCGCCCAGCCCAGAAGAATCATATTCTTAAAAAAAGAAAAAAAAAGAAGAACATTAACTAGGAGATACAACTTCTGCCAGCTGTTCCCCCACCTCTAAGCAGGTTTTGTAAATCTTTTCTGCATTCCCAATGATGAAGAAACACAAAATTGGAGATGTGCTGCTGCAGCATAAATGACTTACTGGAACGACAATTACCTTGAGGACAGCTAAGTGAAGGATTTTTAGGAAAGGAAGTTTATATTGTGAGTGCATACCTAGTGTAAGACAGGTACTGTGTTAAGGTTACATACCTTATTTAAATTCTACATATTTCTTATTCCTAGCTGAGCTTCAGTTTCCCCATCTAAAAAAAAATACCTACTCAAAGACTATTATGAGGATTAAATGGGACTTACAGGAAGGGAGGTAACTTTTTTTGAACATCTACCAAGGATCAAGCACTGTGGTTTGTTCTTTCACATACTTTATCTCATTCATTTGATTCTTTGTAAAAATAAGGAAAATGAGGTTAAGGAGACGTGACTAAAGCCAGTTTTCCTATGGGAGAAGAGGAATTGGACAGCGAGAATGTATCAACTCTTTTGAGAAACTCTTAAGACAAACGCAGAGAAATGAGGCAGTGTCTGGAAAGAAAGTGGGTTTGAGACTTTTAAAGATGGGAGAGATAGGAGCACATTTATCTCTTTTATAAGAGCTGAAGGGAAGAGTCTAGTGAAGAGAACAAAACTGATGATGTTTCTTGGGGGGGCTAAGAAATTGCTGGAATGATGTCTTTCAATATGAGAGAGGGGCGCTCTACTGCGGAAGTGAGGAGTCTGGCCTTAGAGGGCAGCAGGGAGAGTTCATCTGTACGTACTACGTAGCACCTGCAGGCAGGCTGGAAGCCTGTGGAAGTTCTCTCTTGATGGCTTCTAGTTTTCCAGTGCAGGAGCAATCAAGGTCATTGGCCAAGAGTGAGTGGGTAGGGAAGTGTGTGAAGTTTGAGAAGAGAGGGAAGCAGTTGTCCAGAGGTGTGGGAGAATGCATAAGGGTAAGGAAGTAAAATTCCCCATCAGCATTAAAGGCCCAATGGACGTTATCAGGGTTGTGTTTTTCTTCTGCCACACTGAGGCGCACACATGCAGGTGTTGAGTCAGAAGAGAGCTGGAATTAACTATGATGGAAGGTTTGCTGAATACAAGGGCATGAGGGAAGGAGAAAGACATTCAGCATTCAAGGAATTCACTCACTCCACCCCCAGGCCCAGTGGTAAGAGAGGAAGCGAAACCACCACCACTTCAGGGTCAGGGGAAACTATCTTCAGAGGAAAGACAGTCTTCAGAGGAAAGACAGGTTCCATTTAAAGCAAGAAAGTGAAAGTAGCAGGCAGAGGCCGAGGACAGAGGGAATTTGGTTATTCTTGGTACAAGCTGCTTTAGTGGGGTGGTTGTCGCCTGACGAGTGGGCCAAGGAGCACATGGGAGAACGGAAAAATGACAGAAGCATGGACAACTTTCAAATTTTGCTCTAAAGGTGCTGGAGTTAGCTGAAGGTCAAAGGCAAGGTTTGTATTTTAAGATGTAGTATCTATTACAGCATGTTTTTATAACAACGGAAAAGACCCAGTAAAGAGGGTAAAAATCTGACAGCACAAGAGAAACGGGATCAATGTGGGGATCCTTGAATAAGCAAAGCCCTTGGGTAGAGGACAATGGATCCAAGGCCTGAGAACCAACCCTGTGGAAGGAAAAGTGGCAAGGGTGGCTGTGGCTAGGAAGGCTGGTGAGAACGTGAGGTGGGATGATTAGTTAACTCTCTTCATAATGAATCTATTTTATCTCTTCATGTGTGAGGCAAAGTTACCATCTGAAAGTTGGTGGGAAAAGAACGTTGGAGATTTGACGAAAGAGAAGGAAGGGTGAGGAGAAATAATCATGAGCTTGGGAAAATGATTTCCTAGGGAATTGCGCCAAGCTTGTTTGGCAGTATTGAGTGCCCCGCCCCCGAGATCTGTGGTCGTAAATTTGAAGTGAGAGCCGTCAACGTGCTGTGTACTTCTCCCCCAGCAGGACTTGTAGCTGTGCGCAGGTGCCAAGTAAATGGCTTAACGAGGACTAGGGTCATTGCCAGGTGTGTATGACTGAGAGGGAGCAAGACACAGGGGGCTAGGATGTTTGTAATGAAGTGGTGCCAATATTGGGCCATGCAGTCTACGCTTTACTAAGGCACGAAGCAAGAAAACGAAAGGAGTAACAGATAATGAAAAATGGTGAGATCAAGGGATTGGGAGTCTGGATGAGGTTAAAGAATTGTTTCAGTGAAAGATCTGGGGAAAGTGAGCTCAGACGGTTAGAAGAAGGTGATCTGAGAGGTGGGAATATTGAGATTAACATTCTGGAGATGGTGCATTATTGATTTTGTCCCCCAATTTAAAAAAGCATTAATCGAATAAAGCCTTTATGATTAAGTTGATGTTGCTTTTGCCTACATTTACAAAGTACTTTCTGATTACATCACTGGTTTGGTCAGGGTTTTTTAGGCTAGGAGAGTTTGAATTAGTAACACCTCACTTGAATTTCACAACTGACTCCAGTATAGAATGAATGCCCTATGTTACGTTATAGGGGAAACACTACAGCTTATAAAGGAAATCTATAAAATTGTTTAGACATCAACATTGAGGGATACAGTTGGCCTTAATGTTTCATATAAATTTTATGATACCAATATTAAAACAAGAAAACGTTCATTTCATGATTAAGTGGAAGTTTTCCAATAAATTTTATCATCACCAGCAACTTTAAAGATTAAGAGGAATCCTGAGGCTAGATATAAAAAAGAAATTAAGTTAAAGACAAATATTTTGCTGTTAAGGATTTAAAAATAAACACAAAAAATATTGAGTATAAAATGTTTATTCCACTGCCCCAATCACTTAAAATTAAGAATATAAGCAAATACCATCCAATGTCAGAAGAGCTTCAAGGTGACCATCTGCAGTATGTAGTGACAAGTATTAGCATGGAAATTTTCAGTTCATTTAAAAAAATAGCCAAGTTTCACTTAAGTTGAGCTTCATCTGTGTAAATAATTTAACTTCCTTTGACTTATACAATTCCATTTTCTCCAACTGGGAGCTGTGCGGGATCAAGTCCCACTTTTTTCATTGATACAGCAATATCAAACAAATAGTCATAACACTCACACCTGTAAAAGAAAGAAACAAAAAGAACTGAAGGTGTTTACTGAGACAGAGTTCTCCAATCCTAAACAATCACACTGCTCCTCTCTGTCCAGTTAACTCTGCTTTGTTCCTAGTGCATTTTCCTCCTGAATTCTAGACCAAAATTTTCTCATTTTGCTCCCACATTTTTAAAACATGGAAAGGAATCATATTGAATCATGCAACCAAATTATATACTTCTCAGGAAATGAAAGGGAGTTGAAAATATACTACTTACATAATTTATATCTTTTTACTGTGTGCCACTTTGTGAAATAAAAAACTTATGTAACTTGGGATCTGCGTCTTCTTTCTATCAAAGTCCATAGAGCGTTGCCAAATAATACTCATCCAATAAATATTTCTTAAGGAATGAATGCATAATAAAAATAAAATATCTAGAAATACTAACAATAAACTACTTAAATTTAAACCACTTGACCAATAAAACACAAAAAAGCATACTTCATTTTAAATCATAAAACATATCTCATTCTCTTTCACATCTAGAGTGTGATAACTTGACCCAAATGTTCTTTGAGTTACACTTACATGGTTTTAGCCTTTTCCCATGTTTCTCCCCACACATACACTCCATGACGTCTGACTAGTACCGCACAAGAGTCTGGGTATTCATTCATTGCATGAGCCATTCGATCTTTGAGGTCTTTCTCCTCAGGTGTATTCTCAATAATGGGTACCACTAACATATCATCGTATCTGTAAGACAAAACAAACCATTTTTTCCAATTAAAACAAATAAAGGCATTTATATTTATACAATATAATATAATATGATATAATATTTATACAATAAAATATATTTATACAATTTTTTCAAGTAACTGGTTAGACATTCTCTTTATATCTGGAAAGCCACTTTAAACTATGAACAAGATGTTGCATGTTATTCTGTGTATCTTGCATAAACATCTGTATCAAAAGATACCTTGGGAATTTGGCAGGCATTGTTCTAATCTTAAGTATAATTGGCAGAAATTTGTATAGCATACCAAAACCTAACAAAGAAATCATCAAGATCATACAAGCACTTCCTTGAAGCAGGGACAATCATAATATTTTTAACAGGAGATGAGAAATGATAGATTTCAAAATCAGAATTGTAGAAAGGATTAAAAACTGAACTACATATTAAGAATTTCCCAATCATACGAAATCATAATATTTCATCTCTACAGGACTCCAGAGTGTCTTGGATAAGGCAAAATCAATATATCCAAGTGTGGTTTGCAGCACTAATTAACAAGAACCTTCTAGAGATAACTACTAAAGGTATGATAATACCTTCCGAGCATTCTCAAATCTGTAGCATTAGAACAACTTCTACTTCGTTCTCAGGAAATACATGTGATAAAATCAGAATGTAATAATATTTAAACAAATAACTTAGTTACTGGCAAAATTAAGTCTATTCTTGAGGTCATAACTGATCAAAACTCAGATTAAGTTTTCCTCTTTACATGAATTTATCTTGCATTGTTAATGTAGTATCTACCTCTGTAGTGCTAAAAAAAAAAAAGTTAAACTTTTTTTTAACTTAAAAAAACTTAAAAAAACTTAAAAAAAAAGTTCTAGCGAAAGATTCAGAAATTGCTACTTTAGGCAGGTATAGACTAAATAGCTGTCATGTGATTAACTTGGCCAACCATTATCATTAAGTGTATGCAGTTGCCCATTATTTCATCTAAGTAAAACAGAGGTAATTATAAAATATCCTTAAATATGGAAGGAATGAATTGCTAGTCCCAAATCTTTCCTAATATTGGCCAAGAGAAACACAAACTTATATTTTCTTCTAGCACACACTGAACGGTAGGAAATATTTCCAGCTGCAAAATAATTTCACAGCAAAATAAGACCTGAAAGCTAATTCAAGCCAATCCTTCCATTTTATAGGCATGATAACGATCCTGACAAGTTAATGAGAAATAGAGTCAGGGAAGTCCTTGATCATCAAGCAGTATTGCTTTCTCTACACCATAGGCATGTTGCTTCCCAAAGGAAAGACAATTACATTTATACATGTTAAGGTCCCCTGGTAAGAACTAGTGCAGTCATGTGCCACATAATCACCTTTCTGTCAACAATGAACTGCAAATACGATGGTGCCCCATAAGATTGTAATGGAGCTGAAAGATTCCTATTGTCTCCTGACCTTATACTCACTGTAAGGTCAAGGCATAACATAGTACTCGCATGTCTGTTGTGATGCTGGTGTAAACAAACCTACTGTGCTGCCAGTTGTATACAAGTCTAGCTCACACAATTATGTACAGTACATAATACTTGATAATAAATGACTATGTTACTGGTTTATGTATTTACTAGACTATATTTTTTATCATTAGAGTATACTCTATATACATGAAAGTTATATACATATAAGTTATATATATATATATATATATATGTATATATCTATAAGAAACAGTCTCAGGCAGGTCCTTCAGGAGGAATCCAGAAGAAGGCATCGTTATCACAGGAGATGACAGTCCATGCATGTTATCACCCCTGAAGACCTTCCAGTGGGACAAGATGTGGAGGTGGAAGACACTGATATTGATAACCCTAACCCTGTGTAGGCCTTGACTAATGTGTTTATTTGTATCTCAGTTTTTAATGAAAAAGTTTAAAAAGTCAAAAAAAATTTAAAATAGGAATTTTGGTGCAAAGGCAATTTATGTAACCAAAGCATTTGTAACCCCTTAATACTCAGAAATTAAAAGTCAAAAAAAATTTAAAAAGCA